CATGTATTCGGTTCGGTGTACCAAAAGTCAAAACATAAGTAAACAAAAATAGATAAGATGAGCATAAGTGCATAACATTACAAAATCCAATTGAAAAACAAGCCTACAACTTCTTCATCAACATCAATATAATTTTGGGTGTTGCTAATCTGGGACTCACTGTTACTATCATCTTGAGAATTATGGGCTTTATAATTTTTGCCAAAAGCCATTGAAAAAAGAGAGAAAAAATTACTGGATATTGAGGACTTTAGATTGGGTCGTGGTTACTGGTTAGACTTGAGAGACATATATATACCAGGAGTATATATTTGGAGAGTGTCTAGGTAAAAACGAAACATTAAAGGGAGAAGTCAGAGAACAATTGAGAAAGGCACGGAGACTATGAACGACTCGCACGGAACTTGGGGAAGTGCAATCGCGAATTGACCTTTTCAATTTACGGAGAAAACAATCGCAAGAGGGAAGGTCGCGGGAGAGAGGAAATTGCGATTTGGATCGCTGGACCGCCGGCGATTGGTACTCCGTATTATCCGACTTGGTGCGACGTTCTAGGGCATCTGGATCGCCAGCGAATTGCGAATTGGAGCGCCGTACCACACCGATTTGGATCGCCGTACCGGTGGCGATCGGTTCGCCGGCGACTTGCGATCCGGTACGATTCGTACCAATTCGGAAATCGCGGCTAGGTAAGCGAATTCTGTAACTATGCCCACAAACCCTTGTGCACTGGGCAATGGATGTTTTAACACTGTCATGGCTTCAACCACGCCCACTGGGACCTGCCAAACTACAGCTCATATCATTTAGCCACCAAAATCTTTTAAACCTTGAACAAAGCTCACACTGTATGGAATAACTTTTGCAAGAGGAACCTTATAAAACCTACCGCTGCAGTTTTTTTCCTTTTTTTAATATATACCTGAGTCGAAGAGATCTTCATCTCCCTTTTAGAGAAGTATTAAAATAATAAATATAAATAAACAAATCATTCCAATTAATCATAATCCCAGGCCTAATAGCATTACAATTCTAGAATTGAAATAAAAATTAATAGAAGAAAAAGAAGAATTGAAGCTCTAAAAGCTGAAAGTTGAAGTTGCTTTCCTTTAAAGAAAAAAACTGAAAACTAAAATTTGAGCTTCATATTGGTTCGACCACTTGTTGAATGAAAAATAATACCTGAACATTAATATGTGCAATACGTTGGAGAGATAGAAGAGCTAAATTAAAATGGAATGATTTAGAAGGTTTAAATTGGGTTGGAGTCAAACATCAATTATTATTTAAATGTTGGTTTGAACATGCAAATGAGAAATGATGTTTTAGCGCAACCCAACTTGAGTTTCCTAAATTTGAAAAATAGGTTTTTTTAAGTAATTAGGTTTCGTGTAGGGTTCTTTCAAAATAAATTAAACTCTAACCTTCAATTACATATTTAGTTTTTATTTGCATAGAATTTAACTACTTGTGGATTAAAGTCATTAAACAAGATCAACTGCATGATTTAGAGCATAATTCTTTGTGTAAAACATTGATTCAATCCAACAACAAAAACAGTGCTATGGTGCTACCTAATCTGCAAGGGAAGCCCACAATTTAAGTTGAATGCTTAGTGTGTAGAACTTAAAATGAAAAACAAGAATTTTGACTAATTACCTGGGCGGAAGAAATTTGAAGAGGCGGGATTGCAGAAGTTTCTGCTCTCGCTCTGGTCAGTACAAGAAAAACCAACAATGAACAGAGAGGATAGAGGACGCCGTAAGAGGATAGTGTAAATAATATATACAGAGGTAGTTACTGCATTTTATTAACCATTAATAAAAGAATGATCAAAACAAAAAAAAGTTTCAAAGTAATAGAGGCAAGCGTGTAAGTATAACAGTTTAGCATAACAACAAATTTTTGAATAACTTCTACTAAAATATAGTAGGAAGAACACATAAACTTGGAGAAGGGGATAATGAAAAGAAACTTAAATCAATGAATCTATTCGTAGGGAAAAAACTTAGTTTTCTCAAACCAAGTAGATCAAGCTAGTAGTCTAGAAGAAAGCACAAAAAGGAAAAAACATATTCATAGAAAAGGAAACATCAGACTTGTGTTTAGTATGATTATCTTATTGAAAGAAAAGGAGAAAAAGCCAAGAATGCTTTTTTGTGGACTTTCTCACATAATTTTTTTTAAAAAAACAAATGCTTATTTAAGTAGTAAAGAAATGCTTATTTTGCTCAATTATAGGTCCATGGTGGAAGAATTTTCCAAAAACCAAAGCTATTACCTAATTCCACATCAAATC